CCACGCCCGGGATCGAACCGGCAACCCTCTTGCTGTGAGGCGAGAGTGCTAACCACCACACCACCGTGCCGCCCACTACACACACTATTATGATATAACATATATAAAGCTGGTTCAGCAAGCATCCCTTTAAAAACATATCAGTGAGCCACACTGTTGCTCTGGCTAACAATGTTCCTGAACAAATTGGAGTTTATTTGACTCAAGCCCACATACACATAGAGAAATACTCAATAGAGTACCAAAACTGTATTAATCTGCAGCTGAAAATAGTCCCCAACAATTGCACTATTCATCCCTGTATGAGCTAATCACTTATTATGAAGGTATAAATCATGATGTATTCACTCCGTCTCCCTGCCTTCATGATAAACATTGAGATCTACTGTGTATGTGGAGTTTTATCTTCCTCCTCAGTGGGTTTTTGTCTCCAGCCTCTGGAGCTGAGTCTTTTGCTGTTATCATCCCAGAGGAATTGTCTGGTATTTTTGGCATTTGAGGCACAAGTAGATAGCTGCATGCTTTTGGTTACTGTGCAGAAAGAAAGTAAAGAAAGTCTGAACAAATTAGCCAGCAGACACGCATCCCAGCCGGGTGACGCTAATACAATAAGTAAATTAATGATTCCCTTTTATCGTGATGCCAGTGAACTTTTCTCATGGACGTGAACACTTTTCCTTTTGTTATTGTGGATTGGTGAACTTTTGAACTTTTGGTGATTCAAACAAAAACATGCATTAGATTTTAATGACCTTTAAGAAGGCAGGACATATTGCTGCAATGTTTATAACTTGGCAAGATGACATTTAGTAGCTACCTAGCTGAAGATTTATAGCATATATTTTTAAACAAAACTAGCTTATTACATACAATGGTACAATGGTGTATACTGGCTCATAAGTGGAAAGGAAATGCCCAAAACATGTTTGAGGTCATTTAGAAATTATGTTAAAAACAGCATTTACAAGTTTATTTTTTCAACTGTAAAATATCCCACACAGTACATATTTTTGCTGTGATAATCAATATTTTTTACATTTATCTTGGACCAAATAATGTATGCAGTTTCAAATATGAACTTAATGACTCACTGGCTAAGGGGAATGGTAGATGAAAAAATCCACCGACCAAGCATATTTTAAAATAATAAATTGCCTGTTTGTGTCACATACACATTAGTTTCAGTAAATGTAACTGACAAAATAAAGTCTTATGTTGAATATAGACTTAAAGAAGAGGCTGGAGCAAAATCTGAAGCAAAATTATTTCAATATATAGATCAACGTTTAATTAATTAAATCCTGAATGCCCCCCAAATGTTACTGTAGTATTTGCTATTAAATATACTCAAGGATCAAACATAAAACTAAATTTAAAGGTTTTGTGAAGGGGACGTAAATCATTTCATTCAGCCTAACCCTTCTCATCATACTCCTCACTCTCTACCACAATCACCTTCTGGCGTCAAGTGATAGTTCAGCGGATCAGCTGATTTCCCATACAATTAACAGTGCTGCTAAATAAGGACTGTTCAGGATGGTCAGGTTTGCATTAGACGCGCTGTTTAGACATGCATAAAAAATACATCTGCTGACAGCAGAGGAGCAGCAGAGCAGTGTGCCAGTAAATGACACGAAAACGCAGTAGAAACTCAGCATAGTTTTTTTTCCTTACAAACTTGCATCCGTCAGTTTGGTGGATAGCCCTCTGAAATTTACTCACCAAATGGATAAATCTACCTGCACTGGGCCCTCAGGGGGGTTAATTTCGGACCATGAATGTATGTAATGAGATGTGTTGTATATGTGCTCCTTGGCTTTGAAAGTAAGACTTAGTTACCACTGTGGGTAGTAAGTTTGCTAGTAGCCGAGCATGCTAACAATTGCAGCTTATAAATACGCTGTTTAAGCTATTCCTTACATTTGTCTTGTGTTTTGAGTGGCTAATAAAAGCCACCCTGAAAACCTTGTAAATGTCTGGAATCTCTTACTACAAGCCAACATGGCCTGCTGTGCCTACAGTTATGGTAGTGAAAATATGATTTGATGCACAGGGAAGGGGTTTAGCAAACAGTCAATTACAAAACATCTTTCTTTATAACTGTAAACCTTTAGCCATGCCCTCAGTTGTCTTGGTACAGTACTTCAAAGATATCACCTGACCAGAATCAAAGAAGTAAAACCTCTGAAGTTTCAGCAAACTGCCTCACGAATGTGCCTTTAAATATCCGACACTGGAAGCTGAATTCCACCCGCTTATCCACCAGTATGTACTTATCTGCCACCCACTGAGCAGGATGCAATCTGTCCTTGTCTCGCCATGTCTTATCAACTGCTAATCTCCTCCAACCACAGCAAGGAGGCTCCCTAAATGAGCCTTCCAACCACAGAGACAAAGACAAGGTTACCCCTGTAATACTCCTCTATTTGGCATAATTTCATCCCTTTAAGTCTGTAACTGTGACAGTTTCTTGTGTCGAGGAAAGAAGAACCAGTTTCATCCATTTAGTTCATTTTACACATATTCATGAGTTTGTATTTGTGTGAATCTGATATCACAGAGTTTAATTAATGTAATCTTTTCTCTGCACCATGAGCTTAGCTCAGACAGGATTGTTCACACACTCTGAGAGCTAAGTTAAAATTTCCTCAGCCCTCTGTCTTCCCTCAAAGGCACTTGTGCACCTCCTCCTTCCCGTCTCCCTCCTCTTTTTCTTTCCCAGCCCTCTCCCACATTCAGGAAACTGGAGCGGAGCCAAGGACCCTAGTCTCCGTTTCCGGGAATCTGTCCCACAAAGCCACAGTATAGTAGATTGGCTCTGACGTGGGAGCCATTGTTAGAAGCCCAGGGCCCCCATTGTCCAAGGGAGGAACAGCAGCACAAACAAAACCCCCTCTTGCGGAACGAGTAGGAGGAGCTGTAGGGGGGACGAGAACAGGGGAACCTCAGCTATTAATATATATAAAGTGGTCCCACGAGGGATATGCATATTAAACAAATACCAAGAGAAAGGGAGTATGTGGAGCCTGTTCTTTTAATGTCATTTAATCAAATACTTTATCTGTCCACTGTGATAGTGTGGACATGATTGGAGAATACTACACTGGTTATCCGTGGGAAGGTGTGATTTTTTAATGGTACGCTGTGTTGGGCTGCACGATATGAGGAAAATATGTGATAACATTGTTGAAAAGCACGATAAGTATACAACTTGTGATAAACAGATATGAAAGTGTACTCAGTTCTGCCTGTCTTTCAGTAAACTGCTGAAATGCAACAAATTGCTTGTTAAATTAAAAAAAATGTAAAGAAATACTTTCCAACCTTTCATTATATTTGGTATTTTATGTAGTTTTAGTGTGTACAAATAATGGAGTGTAAAAGGCCATCCACACCAAAAATGATGACTATAACAACAATGTGAGCATCCACACTGATAAACTATAGTGTTTTGTAAACAGTGGCGCCAAGCACGAGCTGTGTGCTCCAGCAGTGTCGACAGCTTAGGAAAATGGATATTGACGACCTGTAGCTATTTATATTTGTCTCATCAACTCTGTTAATAATCATAACATAACACTTCAACCTGCCACTGATTTCAAGGGTGAGCCTGATTGTGTCCAGGATGTCTTTTTCTTCATAGTGGCTTCATGAAGCCATCTTGTGTCATCAAACAAGCGTGTTTCATGAATCTCTCCACAGCGTCATCTGCCATGTTAGATGTGTAAATTCAGGTGGATTTTAATTGGCTGTGAGTGTTTATATCATTCATCGAATCACTCTGAAATTAATCCCAGTGATATTGTTCGCCACTGTGGTCATATAGTTGTGGTGTAGACTCTGCGATCTCTTCGAGTTCGTATGATTTTTAAAACTTTGTTATTGTTGTAGTTGTCGTTCTTGGTGTGGACAACCCTTATAAATCTTGTGGTTACTAGGATGTTGCTAGGCAGCCATCAACAATTTCAGGAAGTTACTGTGACTATCTAAGAAATGGTCTGGCACACCGCAATTTCCTGTTTTTACACCTCAGTTTCTCGGCTTTTGTTCCTGCGATAGCCATGGCTGGAGGCATGATGTTTTCAGATTGTCCATACATCCGTATGTCCCATTCTCGTGAACGCGATCATGAGAACACCCTGACGGAATTTCTGAAAATATGGCAAAAACGTCCACTTTGGTGGTCAAGGTCAGTGTCATGGTGACCTTGTATTTCTCATTCTTGTGAATGCAGTACTCCAAGAACAGCTCAAGGAATTTTTTTTTTCATATTTGGCACAAATGTTGACTTGGTGTCAACAATGAACTGATTACATTTTGGTAGTCAAAGGTAAAGGTCACTGTGACCTTGCATCTGTCTCATTCTCGTTAACGTGTTATCTCTCAAAACATTTGAGGGAATATCTACAAATTTGGTACAATGTCCATATTGAGTCACGGATGAACTGATGAGCATTTGGTGGTCATAGGTCATGGTCATGGTCATGTACCCTGTCTGTAGCAAGATCACTTGAGGGAATTTCTTCAGATTTGGCACAAACGTCCACTTTGATTTAAGAATGAACTGATTAGAATTTGTGTTTTTGGCCATAACTCAAGAATTAAAATGCAATTATGACAAAATCTCACACAAATGTTTACTAGGATATAATGATCAAGTAATGACATTTTACATGCCAAAGGTCAAAGGTCAGCTCCACTGTGACATCATAATGTTCTGCAAAAGCACTTTTCTGGTTATTACAAAACATCATATCTCAGGAACAGAAGGGCAGACATTTGGTCAGATACTGAGTTGGTGACACTAATCTTGGGTGTCCACCGTGAAACTGTGCTGACTGTATAGATTTCCTGTGCAGCGGGGGATGGATGTAAACTGAAAAAGAAACTTGTTCATGGAGGCATACAACCGTGAGGCAGTTATTCTAGTTTATGCATTAAACAAGCTATTTATGTATTTGTTTATTTCATATATGTGTCTTTGCTGTGTGTCTCTTTAGGACCCCAAACATTCTCAACAAAGACCCCACAGACAAGAAACCCAAGAATGAGAAATCCTCCGTCTCCCTCAAACATGAGTTTGACCCCACAGGTAAGAGACAGATCAGAGACTGACTCTGATGCTTTTGTTTTACATTTCATTTTCTTTTGATTGTTTTCAGTGGTTTCTTTGATTTGCTGTGAAGCATTTTGTAAATTCGGTGTGAAGGTTTAACTGTAACTGGCTATTCAGATGGATAACAGTGTTTCCTATAGTCTCCATTAGTTTATTACTTTCTTATTGTAACTTGCAAAAAAGCACTTTGCATTTAACAGTGCTGACACATCGTGATGAGGTTGAAGTTTGAGCTGAAACGATTATTTGAATATTTGATCGACAGAAAATTAACTGACAGCCATTTCGATAAATTAAATCAGATTCAGTTTTAATCTAGATTAAGATTAATCAAGAAAATATTGGGCAAATGAATCAGTAATGACAATAATTGCAGTCACAGCTTTGAGCGCAAAGAGTAAACTTTGATATACATGACATATTAAGATTTTTTTAAACCCTGGTGTTGTTCTTCTGTCCTCTTGAATAAATTTGTCTCTAAGGTTCATGTTATAATATGTCACACATTTGCTTTACACTTTAACATACAGTCAGGTCCATAATTATTTGGACAATGATACAGTTGTCGTCATTTTGGCTCTGTACACCACCACAATGGGTTTTAAATGAAACAATGAATACCTGTTTAAAGTGCAGACTCTCAGCTTTCATTTAAGGCTTTTTTCAAAAATGTAGTATGAACCGTGTAGGAATTACAACCATTTCTTCACACAGTCCCCCGACTTTAAGGGCTCATAAGTATTTGGACAAACTAACATAATCATCAATTAAACAGTCAGTTTTAATACTTGGTTGCAAATCCTTTACAGTCAATGACTGCCTGAAGTGTTGGACACATAGGCATCATCAGATGCTGGGTTTCTTCCCTGGTGATGCTCTGCCAGCCCTTTACTGCAGCCGTCTGCACTTCCTGCTTGTGTTTTGGGTGTTTTGCCCTCAGTTTTGGCTTCAGCAAGAGAAACGCATGCTCAATTGGATTCAGGTCAGATGATATGACTTGGCCATTGCAGAACATTCCACTTCTTTGCCTTAAAAATGTCTTTGGTTGCTTTTGCAGTATGCTTCAGGTCAATGTCCATCTGCACTGTGAAGCATCGTCCAATGAGTTTTGAAGCATTTGGTTGAATCTGAGCAGATAATGGTGCCCCAAACACTTCAGCTTTCATCCTGCTGCTCTTGTAAGCAAGACAAGACTTCACTAGAATAAATACAGAGGGTTTATCACAAGATGCAAACCATTGGTTAGCCTTAAAAATGGAAGGCCAGATTAGAGTTTGTCAAAAACCATCTAAAAAGCCTGTACAGTTGTGGAACAGCATACTATGGACAGATAAAACAAAGATCAACTACCAGAATGATGGGAAGACAAGAGAAGGAAGAAGGGAAGGAACTGCTCATGATCCAAAGCACACCACCTCATCAGTGAAGCATGGTGGAGGTACTGTTATGTCATGGCCATGTATGGCTGCCAGTGGAACTGGTTCTCTTGTATTTATTGATGATGTGACTGCTGACAAGAGCAGCAGGATGAAAGCTGAAGTGTTTGGGGCACCATTATCTGCTCAGATTCAACCAAATGCTTCAAAACTCATTGGACGATGCTTCACAGTGCAGATGGACATTGACCTGAAGCATACTGCAAAAGCAACCAAAGACATTTTTAAGGCAAAGAAGTGGAATGTTCTGCAATGGCCAAGTCATATCATCTGACCTGAATCCAACTGAGCATGCGTTTCTCTTGCTGAAGCCAAAACTGAGGGCAAAACACCCAAAACACAAGCAGGAAGTGCAGACGGCTGCAGTAAAGGGCTGGCAGAGCATCACCAGGGAAGAAACCCAGCATCTGATGATGCCTATGTGTCCAACACTTCAGGCAGTCATTGACTGTAAAGGATTTGCAACCAAGTATTAAAACTGACTGTTTAATTGATGATTATGTTAGTTTGTCCAAATACTTATGAGCCCTTAAAGTCGGGGGACTGTGTGAAGAAATGGTTGTCATTCCTACACGGTTCATACTACATTTTTGAAAAAAGCCTTAAATGAAAGCTGAGAGTCTGCACTTTAAGCAGGTATTCATTGTTTCATTTAAAACCCATTGTGGTGGTGTACAGAGCCAAAATGATGACAACTGTATCATTGTCCAAATAATTATGGACCTGACTGTATGAATTGTCCCATAGTCTTTAGCTTAGGCGCTGGTGAAGAGGTGAACAGAGGTGGTGTGAGTGTAGGCAGGAACAAGTTGTCAAGGTGGTTGCCTGGGTTTCAGGGTTGACATTAATCCGTCCTGCCCTTTTCCTCACCCTGGAGGCTCCTTCATGGAGACCAGAAGACAACCAATTATCCACTCAGCTCTCTCAGATAACTCTTTGAAGTGGGAGAAGGAAAAGGAAAAGCAGACCGAGGCAGATCGTGAGTCACTCAACTTCCTCAGTGGCTACAGGAAGAACATCCCTGATGGAGCTTTCTTAATTGAGCAGATGGTCTTTGCAGATTTCAGGGTGTTGGTGAAGTTAGAGAGTAGGTGTATGTGTACATTTACAAATGGAGGCACAGGTTTGGCTTTGCTGTGTCACAAGGACTTGGCAGATTCAGATGGGTGCTGTTAGCATGTGGTCATGGGATTTCCCAAACTGTCAATAGAACAGAACAAAGGGTGGGTTAATAGATATAAATAGGTCAGAGCCATAGAAATAGAATCAGAGTAGAACAGACATTCTCATTCAAATAAATATAGCAGGATGGTCAGAGCAGTGTGCATTTTTGTGTGCACACAAACCGACTTGTGGCGAGTTGTGAATTCACTGAGGTAAGGTTTTAAAGTAGCAAACAACCAAGCTGTGGAGTAGTAACGTTAGGTTTTAAATAGGCAAATCTGTTTCAAAATATTACTGCAACTTAGGGTTTCTTTGATTCTCTTTGATTCTTTGATCTTGCATATTGTTATAATATAAGTTACCAGAGTTAGAGTTAGAGTTAGAGTTACCAGACTGTTCTAGCTGTTCTATTATTTGCCTTTACCCACTTAGACATTATATCTACAATACTGATGATTATTTATCAAAAATGTAACTGTGTAAATATTTTGTGAAAGCACCAATAGTCAATCCTACAATGTTGTTGCAATATCGATATGAGGTATTTGGTCAAATATATTGTGATATTTGATTTTCTCCACATCACCAAACCCGACCATAGCTGTTATTTTCCTGTTTCTTTTGTTGCCGTTAATTTCACGTTTCTTAAAACATGTAACGTTACTGTCGCTGCCTCCAAAGAATGAGCGAAAGCCATGTCTCTAACATGAACCCCGGAAAGAGTAGCTGTCGCCTTGGTAACAACTAATGGGGATCCAGATAACAGCTGACAGCTGAGAGGCAGCGAAAGATAGGGAGGATAAACATTGTACAGATCTGCTTATTTTCACATCTAACTCGGGGGATTAAGGGTTTATTTCGACCATCAGAACTGGTGATTGTTGGAAAAGTGGCCTAGCTAACTCAGAGGGTTTTGGTTAGTTTTACTTTGTTTCAGTTGAGCATGAATGAAGTGTGTTTTATGATAAATTAACAAGGCAAAACGTTAGTTAGGTGAAAGATAGAAACTTGAATTAGTGTACAGTTGTATTTTTCTGTTTAATAAGAAAAATAGTTGTAAGAAAAGGCCAGAATTGAGTTCTGAAACTAGTGAATGTGACACACTTTACCGCAACACTGACATGTGTTGTCGCTGTAACAACTAACTTTTGTTCGTTTATGTCCTTTCTATTCATTCTGTTTCTATGGTTAAAGATATCCTGTGGAGTTTTTGACCACCAGTAACGCTATGGAGCAAAACATTTTTTACAGTCACATTGGCAACACAATCCTCAGTCCTGGGTATTGTTTCATTAGACTGAAAGCCACCAGATGAGGATGTAAACACTGCACAATATAAAGATATTAAAAATAATAAAACATTGTTTCCTAGCACACAATGGACTAAATTGGCCACCAGATTTAAACAACAGTAACAATAATAAATCAAGCAAAATTTTTACTCAGTTTTACTATAATTTTTATTGTTTGTTCACATAATCTTTATATATTTTCTTATTTAAGTCCTAAAAGCTAGTTTTTTGTTCACATGCAGTAAGGCCATTAGGAGCATTTTAAGGAGGCAGGAAGCATGATTTCGTGTACAGATTATCTGTCTCATCTACGTTGGTGTGGATACAGTCTAGTGACAGTTTCAGAAAATATGACAAATAGTTATTTCTTATAAAAGTAACCAACTACAGCTATAACTATCCTTCACTTAAACTTAAACAAAGAGTTTTATCTTATTCTTATTATATTACTCTATAAAGCATATCAAAAAGAGAAGAGAGGGAAAACATCTCTTGCTGGCGAGTCCAGTTTTTGTTGGAAAGAGAGCAGACTTCTATTTAAAACCCTTTTCTGTTTCAGTCTCTTGATTTGTCACTTCCTGTGTGGAGAATTTTTCCCACAAGCCGAAGATTGCACCAGACCATAAAACATCATACCATGACGTTGGATCATCTTTGTCACATCCAAAATTAGGTTTATCTGATTTAACTACACCTTTAGTAGCATGTGACGCAGTGCAACGTGTGTGTGTGTGTGTGTAAATGACAGGTCTTGTCCAGCGGTGTGTGATAATCCAGAGGGATGAGAATGGCTTTGGGCTGACTGTAAGTGGAGACAACCCTGTGTTTGTGCAGCTGGTAAAAGAAGGTAAGACTCAACACTCACACATCTTTCTGTCTTTATGTGCTTATGAGGACCCTTATTTACATAATGCATGTTCTCACTCTAACCCTAACCTAAACCTGAATCTAACAAGAACCTTAAAACCAAGTCATAACCTTCAAGCAGCCTTTGAAGAAATTAAAAATTTGCCAGAGGTTTAAACACACTTGTAGAAGCAGCATCTCTGACTCTGTTCTGTCTTCTGTCGTTATAGATGGAGCTGCAATGCGAGCTGGTGTTCAGACAGGAGACAGGATCATTAAGGTGACACTCGTTCATGTCCGTCTTACTTCCAGGAACAGAAACTGAACTGTTTTTTCAAAAAGAATCTTATTTCATTTAGTTTATTTGAGTTGATCCCAAATACACCATGTGTACACCAAATCTGCTGCTCAAATAAGTGCCCTACAAATGTGTTGTTGGTTTTGGTTTTTTGTTGGATTGTTGACAACAAAGCTACAGACTATCACCAGCCTTGACCTCAGCAATATGCCATGGTCGAATATTAAAAAATTCTCTCCCAATGCTTTTTCTTTTCTGACAGGTTAATGGGACGTTGGTCACACATTCAAACCACATAGAGGTTGTGAAGCTGATAAAATGTAAGTACGCATTTCTAGTTAGTTTTTTAGTTTACTCCATCACGTCATTTTGATGGCACATTAAGGCCCGGATCACACTGAGACACATCGGGCTAAAACAGCATGGTGCGCCTGTAGAATGGGGCTGCATGCGCAACTTGGCGACCCAATGTGATCTAAGGAAAAACACACTCAAACTGATCTCCTGTTGTGTCCTCCATGCACCCCTCTAAATCTGGTCTCTCTCTTTCTCTGACTAAAAGACAGTAGCTTACATGAAACTATCGCGACATGAGATATGAATCCTCCCTTCTCCCTTACATATGTCATAGGTCTCAACAGCTGATTTGCTAGTTGGATGGCCTATTTAGCAGCATAGTAAATGGCATCATACTCACCTAAGACATTTACCTGGCTGCTCATGCAACTCCATGCACGCACTCCCCGGTTAGTATTAGAATATTGGGGTGACCTTTATTGTAATGAAAGGTTCAGTGTCCAGAAATGGTGTAATGGTGATTTTGTTACCTTAGAATGAGTTGTTTGTATCTACATAGGGAGTGGGGCCTCATCCACAGAATCCGACATGATTCACCGCTACAAACCGAACACCTGCTCTAGAGAGGGCCACTCATGTTTTTGCGACGGCCTCCGTATTTAGCAGCCTCCCTGTAGCAAGTCAAACAGCACTTTTTTTAACACAAAACTGCTTTTTTTCAGTATTTTAATTGATTTAAATCCATCTGGTCCATTTGTTTTGGACAGGATAAGATCTCTGTGGATAATTCAACTCCCATTAAAAACCTCCTGAATGTCTTGATCCAAAGTTATCCAAAAAAAGATGAACACACAGTAGCAGGTGCTGGGCTAGTAGACTGTCTGCGACGAGCCCAATGGCATGGAAGAAACACTATTTGTTTAATTTTTTTAGCCAGGAAGGTCCCATTCAGATACAAGATCTCTTCTTCCAGAGAGTCCTGGTCAGACAGCTGCATTTGTAACGTGAAACTACTTTATTCAGTATTTTTACCGGTTTAAATTACCTGGTCTGTTTGTTTTGGAGAGGAAGAGACTTCTGCCGGAATGATGAATACATAAGGAATTCTAACTGGGAGTTCACGCTTTGCACATGGGAGAAGTTTCAGCTGATTGCAATCTACAACCGTCACCCCTAGATATCACTAAATCCTACATACTGCTCCTCTGAATACATCTAAAATCAATCTTCTGTCTGCATTTGACATTGTCCCACTGTTCCCACCAGATTTACCAGCCTCAAAACAGTTATAGATCCCACCTTTTGCTTGATTTGATTGGCTGCCTTGGCCAAGTGGGACATTGACAAACAGTACTACTCTGCACCTTGCTGAAAAGTAGAGAATATATTCACTTTTTTGCAAATCTAAAAGCTGCTTGCACACCTTAGAAAAAAAGGTTTTGCTGGCAATGCATTTCTAGCAAAGTGTCTCAGTGTGATCAAGGCCTTAGAATATATTTGTTACCTTGGTGGCAATAGGGCTAAAGCAAGCGTTATAGTGGTTAGTAATCATTCTGTGTGAGGGGCAAACATTGTCGAAAGACATGGACACACCATCTGTGACGTCACCCACACATTTGTAGAGGGGTGTTTGAAACTCTGGAGCTTGATTTTACAGTTTGCAGCCATTTGTTTTAGCAACAGCAGCCATGAAGTCCACATTTTGACTGACTGTGATGGGCTGAGTCAAACATGCCCCCAGTCATACAGCTCTTTGAGTTTTAGCGATTAGGACCTCCACTTCTCGGGGTTTTCCCGTTCACATGTGTGCACAGCTGGTTTGGACAAGACTTACAATGCATGACATAATATAGAAACATTATCTTGTTCTCTCCATTCCTTTCATGTGGTCAAATGTTTTTCTTCTCTCAGCTGGTTTTGCTGATCAGATCTTCACGGTGGCTCGGATGCTTTTTATAAACGTAGCAGCATTGTTCTTTCTCCTCACCCTCCCTTCATTCCTTTCCCATGACTCCTCTCTGGCAGCGGGCTCCTATGTAGCCCTGACAGTGCTGGGGAGGCCTCCAGGGCTTCCTCACATCTCCCTGGAGGAGGATGACGAGGAGGAAAACAACAAGGGGGAAGGGGCAGAGCTCAGCCCACCCTCATCTGTCTCAGCGCCCCACTCACCTGCTCTGCCAGGTGGGGAGCAGTGCAGCCTCCAGGAGCACAGCACCTCCTCTCTGCCTGATGGGGTAAGGTAGAAGAATGAATGTGCCAACAGAGCTGTGTCTCTTTATTAAAGGACGGGACGACTTTATCATACAACATTTATCTCTCACTAATAGGTGAGGGCAGCGTGCAGATAAATACAAAACCTCAAAATATCCTAATTAGACCTTTCTTTCTTTCTTTCTTTCTTTCTTTCTTTCTTTCTTTACTTCTTTATTTACTTCTTTATTTATTTATTTGTATCCCCAGTAGCACCAGCATAAACACTGACTATTCTTCTTGGGGTCTACCCACATACCTTAAAACACACTTACTAAACAGTAATTATTGATAAACATAAATCCTTGTCTGACTGACCTTGAATCATATATTATCCATCCTTTGCTTTCACACATTTAATTCCAAGAAAATATGGTTAAAAAACATATCTCATAATCTTCCCTGGGGGTTTCTATTTATATGTAATATTATCACACCATCTCCATAATTTACAAACATGATTCACTCATAGTTCCTTAAATTTAAAACATTCCTTAATATTCTCTTGAACAATATGCACTGGTAATGAATTCCACCTGACCATGGCCCTGTACACAACTGTTTTCTGTATCACACTTGTTTTAGCATTATTATTATTATGTCTAAAAATTGTGTTGAGCAAACTGAGAGAATAACCTCATCTGATCTGATGTGAAGTTCTCTTCTCGACTATGAATAAAAAGTTAAGTATGAAGAACAGACACTTAATGTCTGATTTTGTTTTTTAAAAACAATTTTAACTTTCTCAAAGCAAGGAAACTTTTAGAAATCTGTTACAATTCCATCACTACATACACACAAGACCAAATAAGACGGATAAGATAATGATGTGTGAATGTATAAGATACTGAGTAATAGATAAATATCATGAGCTAAAGATGAATTGAAGAATTTAAAGTACTGTAGGCCTGTTTTAAACCCATTTCCAAACTCCATATTTGTAGTCATATTTTAACATCTTTAGTAGCTTTAAAAAAATCTGTTTCCATTATTACCATCTGCCTTATTTAACTTTACATTAAGTGATTAAAGAAGGTACATTCAAGATGGAGATACACTTCCATATTTCTTGCACAATAATGCCACTACTGCAAATATTTTGAGCCCCAATAGCAAGCAGTAAAACGGGAAAACTCACTAAAAAATATTTAGATTCTTCCAGAGAAAACACAGTTTGGACTTTTTATCACTGTCAATATTATAAAGTCCTTGAGTAACACCTTACCTGTCTGACGTTTAGAAAAATACAGAAATACAGAAAATTGTTTATCTGATTATGAGCAATCATTTCTCTGTGTCAGGGGTCTGAAAGCATGCAAAAAAGACTAGATTACCATCTGGGTGACTTCATGCCTGCAGGATAATAAGGCCACTATAAAGGAATATAATTCCTTAAAGGGATATTATATAAGCTTTTATATGATAAGCTAAGTAAGCTTTCTCCAGGAAAATGTGTTTAAAACAGATTACAATATAACATCTGTTTATATCATGTTGTCCAGCAGTGCAATGTTACACAAATTGAAGTGTTTAAACTTCTTCTCGATAATCTAGATGAATAATGCAGATTATAATTCAGTCTATAAATTAGTACTGGTGAGTAAAATCTAATTATAAGGGAGTCCTGCAGAATCACAATCACCTGCTGATGTATACAGTAATGCAGAAATATAGGATATAATAATAAATATTCATTTCACGTATTTTACAAGTGAAGTACTGCAGGACAGACATTTATTTATTTTTAAAATATTAAGGTTTGCTGTATCTCAGTGCTGAACTATAACTTCCCTGCTCTGTAACTTTTATCTGTGATGAGGTTCATGATATCAGCAGCTTATCTGACTGATGCAACCCACGCAGCTCATTATTTTTAAGCTCCATTTACAGTGCATTTCTGCCAGTTTTCACCAAACCTGCTGCACTGTGTCAACAATTTGTCCTCTCTGTAACACTTAACATGTCAAACTAAAGACTTTGGTTTCATAAAATCTGAAATACCTGTAAATTATTTGTTCCTTGTTAAAATTATCTCCTTATTTGCACCGTGACATTTTTCTTTTTCATTCAGTTCTAATACTTAAATTTGAAGACATGCACTGAATGACAGTTAATTTTGTTAATGTTCAAGTCAATCATATTTATTTTTTAATGTCCTTGTTCCCTTTTTTTTCTTTTTCACTTTCATTTTAATAGTATCACTTCTCTTTTGTGTTTTTCTTGAAGTCCCCTTCATTCACATTTGGCATTACAGGAATAATCATCTAATGGTGTGTTTTCAACTGATTTTTGGCTCTTTTGGCTCAGTGTTGCCTCGTTATTTTCTCTTCTAGGATGAGAACAAAACCATGCACAACCAGAAGGCCGACATCCTGCAAAAGATGCTAACTAAGGAGCAACAGGACCTACAGGTGTGTGTATGATGCCATGAGACTGTCTGTATTTCCTTAGACACAGTGATAGTAAAGAAAATTATATAAAAAGTATGTTACCAACTCCTGAATACTCTGATTATGTATCGTGTTTCCATTGGTTACACATTTGACCCAGAAGTCAAGAGATCTTTGAACACACTTTTCATGTGTGGCTTATGTCTGCTATACTTTGGGATTTATTTGTGTTAAGGCAAAGGAGGAGGAGTACAGCAGAAACCCTCGGCCTAAACTACTGAAGGAGGTCCAAGAGGCCAAGAAGCACATTTTACAGCTGCAGGAGCAGCTCAGCAAAGCAGCAGCAGCATTACAGGTAGAAAACTAAACCCTAACTGCATTTTTACCAAGATCCTTTCAAACTCTTTTTTCTGACCTAAAGAAATACCTGACCAAAACTAAGGACAGAAATTACTTTGTTATTGATAAACCACAGTTTAAAACTTAGCATGATCCACAGTCAAAATGGCCATAACTGTAAGATTAAAAGAGATTTACGGAAATGATTCTGCTAAATCTCATTTATCCATGGACCAATAACCATTACCACCACTCAATATGTGTCAAAACTCTCTCAATTTGGACGACATTTTCTTCTCTGAAGTCTAAATTAAGCTTTGACTCCTCCGTCACGTCCACAGACTTTACATTAACACAGGTCACTGCAGGCTTGTAGCTGATAAGAGAGTGAAGTAATTGTTATGTGTGTGTCTCAGGATGGAGCCACTGGGTCCAGGAATGGTGAGGCTGAGGAGGGGGACGGCAGGCCCCCTCAGAAAGAACAGACCATATCCACCCGTGGTGACAGTGCTAACGATGGGCCTTTGACCAACAATAACTCTGTGGGTATAATGACAGATCTCTGCAGTTAGTGTGGTAAACCACATTACCCAGAAGCACTCTGTACTTACTTTGTTAAGTCTGGTTTTGTTATGGTTTCGTGCCAGCTGCTCAAGACAGTGTTGGCAGATGGTTAAATACTTTGTTGCTTCGTTTGTGTTTCAGTGTAGAAAATTCTAGACAGTGAGTAATTAGTAATGACAAGTAATTATTTGTTAATTTCATTGATCAAGCAAAAATACCAAACATTCACTGGTTGGATCTTATTTTTTCTGTTTAATATGATTGTAATTCTGATATATTTGGGTTTTAGACTGCAAGCAATTTGAAAATGTGTCCTTACAAACTGTTTTCTGACAGTTTACAATCAAATAATCCTTAAAATAATAAAGATATTAATGTATAATACATCAGTAAAAGCTTTAGGTTGATTATCCATTCCCTAAACACCTCTCAACTTCAATGTCATATGGAAGAATTACTGAAAGGGACTAGTGGACATAGGCCCAGGGGCCCAAAGTGTCAGAGGGGCCCCTGGCCTTCACCTGCAAAATGTAACTCAACTTAAAAAGTACTGACCAGGAAGAGACTCAGAATGACTACAAAGAGACACAAAAACACAAGAAAGAAATGCAAAGGAACTGTAAAGAGACACAAAACAACTACAAAGACACACAAAATAACTACAAAAACATGCAAAACAACTACAAGGAGACACAAAACAATCACAAGGAGACACAAAAGGACTACAAAGAGACACCAAACAACTACAGAGACACAAAACTACAAAGAGACACAAAAGGACTACTAGATGCAAAACAACTACAAAGAGACAAACAAAATGACTACTAAGAGACACAAAACATCTACATAGAGACACAAAACAACTACAGAGACACAGAACAATAAGTAAGAGACACAAAACAATAAGTAAGAGACATAAAACATCTACAAAGAAACACAAAACAACTACAAGGAGACAAAACAACTACAAAGAGACACAAAACAATTAAGTGATGATTACAAGAAGACACAAAACATCTATAAGGAGCCAAAATGATTACAAAGAGACACAAAAAGGCTGCAAAGAGACACAAAACATCTACAAAGAGACACAAAATGACTACAAAGAGACACAAACCATCTACAAGGAGACACAAAACGGCTACAAGTAGACATAAAACAACTACAAAGAGACACAAAATGACTACAAAGAGACAAAACAACTACAAGGAGACACAAAACGATCAGAAAGAGACAAAACAACTGCAAGGAGACATAGAAATACTACAAAGAGACACAAAATAACTACAGGGAGACATAAAACAACTACAAAGAGACACAAAACAACTACAGGGAGACATAAAACAACTACAAAGAGACACAAAACAACTACACAGGGAATGAAAACAACTACAAGGAGACACAAAACAAGTAATAAAGACAAAATTACCTCAAAGAAATATAAACAACCTTAAGGAGACACAAAATGACCACAAAGAGACAGAAAACCACCACAAAGTCAGTGTGTCTTGCTCTTATGTAGTAGATTCGATGGGGCCCTTTGCATATCTGTGCCCAGGGGCCCATTGTCTCATAATCTGTCATGCAGTGTCACCATGATTTTATTTATGATGTTAGCAACAGTATAAAAAGTTCATACTCTATGTGGTTTGTGTTATATGGTGTTTTTAAGACTAACCATGGACCAGGTGCTGCTGTTGACAGTGGAATGTTTTTAGTAATAATAATAATAATGTACTATAAGAGTACCCACGATCTAATGTTACAACAGGAAGCCTCTCTGAAAATACTGCTTACACAGACTCCTTTGTAATAACTCCCCCCCCCCCCCCCCCCCCCCCCCCC